ATACAAACGTCACACTGTAGTGTCCCAGCGCAACATTGAGCCTCCATCGGGCAGCCTATCCTATAGTAGCTGCTTGTTATTTGTTACATCTGAGAACTCTTCTTTTAAATCTGTCCACTTCCGGTGTTCTTTGACTATTAACTGTGTTGACTCCTTTAAAACTGCGGTTCTCGTAAGACCACCACGACAGCGTGCATGCATTTCTATCTCGTTTCCTGTAGCGCATCTCCACTGCGTAGGAGCCTCCTCCATCCCTTCTTCTCGGGAAATTGAAGGCCTCTTTCCGTAGAGGATTCCGATGACGTTGGAAGTACCACATCATCGTGGCACTGCCCACCCTTTCACCACTTGGTCCCTTCTCCGCATATACGGTTACCGACTGGCTCCCTTAAAGGGATAGCCCTGCTATGGATCTCGGATATCCGTTTAAAGGAGGCAATCGGTCATCATCTCGATACAAACGTGTCGAGTCCACCGTTAGACCTCTGTTCAACAAGGCCTGGTACTTCACTATCTATCGCTTTATCGAAAGCGTTCCTCATGAACTTTTCCTCAATTCTGCTATTGCCATGTTCCTTGATGACATGGGAATAAACGGGGATCGTAGTGCATGCGGGAATGTTCCCATTGTCCGCATATGCTTCACAAAGATGGATCACTTGCAAGGGCCTAACGACAATCGTTGTACCTCCCTATCTAATAACCAAAATGCGCCTAGCTAGTGTAGCTCTCTGGGTCCACCTGGAAGACGATTGTAGAGGCCGATGAAGCCAAGGAGCTCCTCCACAGCTTCCGCATCGCGGTGGCCGCCAACCCTGGATACTCAGCAAGGGCGGAGACACTATTCATGAGTTGTTTTGCTGGGAAATCCTTCTCAGCTGGATGGCCCATGTTGTTTTGACGTGATAAGCTACCGAGTCGTTGGCCAGTTCCAGATGCTGATCAACATCAATTGTGCGAGAAGGCAAAGGGGATGCAGTTTTGGTAAGATGCCTTTTAGTTTTCCAAGGAGCTTTCACCACAAAGCGCATTAGAAAAGTACAGGCTTCTGGAAGCTCTGTGCGCCAGAGCTTCCAGCTGTGCGGGGTGGGTTTCAATTTCATCAGCTGCCCCGGTTAAACATGCGGCGCTACCAAGTATAACCCTAAACCCTAAACCCTGAACCCTAAATCCTATGCCCTAACCCCACAGAGTGGGAAATGATAACAGACCTTCCAGAAGCCTGTACTTCTCTAAAAGGCTTTGCGGAGACAGGTCTTTGGAGAACTAAAAGGCATCTTAACAAAACTTCATCCCCCTTGCCTTCTCGTTATCCGACTCCTCTTTATCATTCGACAAGTTTCAAAAGGTGTAATAGAGTTAAAAGTACTTCAGAGTTTTCCGAAAGTACCTGATCTCTCCCAGTTCCCAGGCGGCCTGGGCCCTGAGACCCAAGGGCCTGTGACCGGGGAGACGGGCAGCTTGGCGAGCTGACACGAGTTGCAACGCACCTCGATTCAACTAATGTTTCGAGGGAGTCCCACTCGTCCGGTGCAAGCACTAACGCTGGGGACAATTGTTGAACACTTACTTGGGCTTTAGTAAGCAGCCTGCACGCAAGTAGCAGCGCATGCGCCAACTTCGGCCCCACCGTGCTACACGCAGTTTGTGATCCAAGCGACCTTTATTTTTTACATGGGATTTTCCGTTTGATTTGCATTGCTCGCCTGTTCGCGTATTTCAACTACGGGCCGTGTAATGGCGTGTCCCAAAGGATGTGCACCCACAAAAACAACTGGAAAGGGCTACACACACACAGATGAGGACTTGTAGGCTTGGGAGCAACTTTTAGCGATGGCCGACAACCATTGTAGGCAGAGAATCCCTTTTAAATGAAGCATCACAATCAAGAAAAGCCCAAGCTAGTTGAAGCTGCAGGCGCCGGGTTTCAAGCCATTTAGTTCTGCGCTCTAGCTCCTACTGCTGAGGCACCTCCATCTGCATGCACTTACTGCAGCCTTAATCATCAAAGGAAAGCGTTACAAAGTGGAGCCACGCGCACACTGAAAGAAGCCCATAGGTTCTCATGCGCAACATGAAACACCACACACTGCATAACCGCTCGTTGCACTGAGAAAGCCCACCAACGAGGCCCCATGCGGCTTTAACAGAACTTTTCCAAGTATCTCACAAAGGTTGAGAGATATCGAGAATATTTCAACCGAAGTTTCAGTGAGGGACAGCTCCGAAACCATTTCTCGTACTGGGGGATACCGGTTCATCAAGCTTTGCAGATATACCAACATCAACTTCGATCTCGGAGTTGTCGCACTAGCAAAANATACCGGTTCATCAAGCTTTGCAGATATACCAACATCAACTTCGATCTCGGAGTTGTCGCACTAGCAAAAACAAAGATGCGTTATTCAGTAGAGGGGGTTGTTGAAATGGTAATTGTATAACGATGGCACCACAATAAAACAAGAAGGAAACAGCAGGCCGCGCAGGCAGGATTGCTTACGCGCCCCTGCGGGAAGACTGTGAACGTCGCCACCCAACGAAAACTAGTAGAAAATCTATAAACCCTTCAAAATCATTCACTCTTTTGATGTTAATCTTTTTAAAATTATAAATTTTTCGCGTTTTCATATTTGTTGTGGCAGATTCTTTAGAGGGGTGAAATATCCCCGCTCCTCTCGGTGTTGGCTATTCAGCTTGTGGGCTGTGCAGATTTCAGGGCAATTGGAGGAGAAGTGTTCAGTCCCTCACCCAGTATAAGCTAATTTATTACTGAGTTTGACGCTGTCTGTTTAACCGTTCCTTTATTTGAGTTGCTCGACATGCCGGTCGCAGCTGGCCTCAAGGCCACCTGTGTGCAGGTCACCTCACGGACAGTGTCTCCAGCGGTTCTGCAGCTCAAAACAAGTCTCGTCTGCGTGAAACTCCCTATTCGACATGCAAAACACAAACCTTGGGTTTACTTTAGGAGATCGCCCTGACTTATCGCGCCCTTCTGGCGAACTCCACTGGATCTGAATCCAACTCGAGCGGCAACACACGCAGCAGCCACGAGTTCCGCCCCATCGGGCACAGAAACCCGCACAAGCTGCGGCTACCAACGGATGCCTTGGCAGAATGGAGCCTCTCGAGATTCGAGAGGATGGAGTTCAAAGTAGCAGCGGACACCCGAAGGAGGCGAACGAAACCTCAGCTGAGCTTCACGGGGTACGCAGCGCAACGATTGATGAACAGAGAGGGA